TCCCCTCAGTGGGCTGGGTGGGCTGCGCTCCAGACGGCTGAGGGTCCCTGCTCCCTTACCTCTTCCCCCGCCCCGACCGCTGGTCACCCCCCACCGAGGAGGCCCAGGCCCGGCACCGGCCTCTGCTCTGTCCCCCGGGGCCTCGCCCTGGGGCCACCGCTGAGCCGCTCTTCGGCCCTGCCTGGGAAGAAAGAGCGGCGGGGGGAAGCCGCTCCCTGGGTCTAGAGTGGCTGCCCCCGCGCCTGGCCACCTCCATGACCTTGAGCCCGAAACTGACCCCCTGGGCCTTAGTTTCCCTGCTGTAGAGTCGGGGTGGGGGGCTGACGGGCAGAAAGCCGAGACATGCCCTGAGGACCAGAAAGGCCCACTCTGTGGGACCCCCAACCCGTCTCCCTCCGACTGCGCCAAGCCCCATGCGGGCCACAGTCTTGGCTGGGAGGATGGCTGGCGACCTAGCCGCCCTTAAATCCCTCCCCCTCATTGAGGACCAAGGCCTCTGGCTGCATAGTGGTTAGGGTTCAAAGCCCGCCCCCCACCTCCCTGGCAGGCGTCCACGTGGACAGGGCCTGGCGTCTCCATCCCCGAGTTTCTCTCCTTGTACCATCACCCCGGGTGCACCTGCTCCCAAGGCAGATCCTGGCTCTGCCAGCCCTCCCCCGGGCTCCCCTCTTCCCCCACACCCTAGCCCCTGCTGCTTGGGTGCTCACAGGGGGCCAGGCCGTGGCCTTGGAGCCTGTGTGTGCCACCTGGCAAGGTGCACCCCCTACCCCCACCCCGGGGCTCCAGCTCCCCATCTGTAAATGGGGGGAGGGGTGTCAGGCCTGGGACATCTTCCAGGGCCCACCAGCTCCAGAGGTGCCAGGTCCTGGGGATGACTAAGCATGCCTGGTGGCCAGCCAGGCAGAGCCGAGATCTGGGTAGGACCAGCACTGCCCTGTCCAGTCCCTGCCTTCACGGGGTTCTTCTCAGCCCTTCTCCCTGGGTAGGCAGGGAAGGATTGGTGGGGGGGAGCTGTGACAAGAGGCTCAGCGCTGCCGTATCTAAATGCCACTGCTGACTTTTCTCCCCGTTCACCTTGCCTCACCCCGAGTTGAAGGGTGCTCTTGCAGGGGGCTGGGCCGGAGACCCTGGGTAAGGGTGCCAGTGTCTCTGCCGGACTCAGCCCCGGTGCGCTGTTTTCACCGCTCGTCTCACCCCGGAGCTGGGCAAGCGTGCACAAGTCTACAAGGATCTGCACAGGTGCACGCGGGCTCTCCCATGTCTCAGCGCACATCCTGATCCCCTCTCCGCCCGTGCAGGAAGCGAGCTGCCCGTGTGTGCGAGCTGCGGCCAGAGCATCTGTGACGACCAGTACCTCCAGGCCCTGAGCGCGGACTGGCATTCGGACTGCTTCAGGTAGGCCGGGCTGGGCAAGGGGTCGGGCGGCCCCAGGGACCGTGTGGCCCGGAGCCAGGCCTGCCAGAGGGGCCAGGAATCAGCCTGTGACCTGTGCGGTCCTGTGCACGCTAAGTCGCCTCTGAGTGACTTCAGACACCCCAGGCCCGGGAAACGCTGGGGAAGGCGTTGTTTGCCCTGTCATTTAGAGAGCAATTTTTTACATTTCCACTCTGCCGTCGCCTGAATGCATGGCTGGGGGACCCCGGCCTGCTGGCACTTAGGCGGGGCAGGGGGCTGGAAGGCCCCGTGCCTCCACCTCTGGGTGCTCATGCTCCCAGGGGAGAGGAACCAAGCCACTGCCAGTGGGCCCCAGGCTGACAGCCCAGGGAGGCCAGCCCCAGCCTGCACACACCCATGGGCAGGAGGGGAGTGGGCTGGGGCCGTGGCTGCCGATAGGGGTAGAGCCCCTGGCGACTCTGCAGCCCCATCCCCCACCCCGGGGGGGGGCCCTCCTGAGATGGATGCCAGGTGTGGGGAAAGCTCTGGGTAGGCTGAGGGGTCCAAGGCCTTCGAGATTTCCTGAGTGGGAAGGACTTCCGGGTAGCAGCAGGAGGGGTGGGGGTGGGGCAGGGAGCGGGCCATGAAGGAGGAAGGTGCAGCTGATGGCTCCCTGTCCACCAGCGTCCCTGTACTGACACCCAGGACCTTATTCCAGACCTACGGATGAGGCGGGTTGGATTTCAGCCAGCGGGTGAGATGCCCAGGTGGGGGCCCCATGAGGCCCCCAGAGGCAGGCGGCGTGCACCCTGGGCTTCTGCCTCGGGTGCTCAGAAGGGAGACCTTCCTGGGAGCCCGAGGGTGTGGGCAGGAGGAGGCAGCGTTAGGGTTGCCCTAAAAGGGCCCTGAATGATGAGAACCTCTGGCTGCTGAAGAGTGCCAGCCCCCCTGGTGTGGCTGGGCGGGGAGGGGCCGGGCGCCATGGTCCAGGGATCCTGAGGTCCCAAGGTGTGACCTAGGATGGCGGCTGAGGGTGCCTGGGATTTGGGCAAGGGCAGATGGTGCGTCTGAAATCTGTGAAATCCGGGACACCGCGAGGCTGTGAGTGGGAAGTCCCACCCCTGACCTCTGTGTAGCCGGTGCAGAGCGCTTAGACTTAGGTCATTCCCCCCACCCCGGGTCGCAGCATTGCGCGGCTGCAGTGGGTCCTGGAGCCAGGAAGATCCGTTCACTCATTTTCTTTAAAGGATGTATTGTATTTATCTAGAAGATTTACAGACAGAGAAGGGGGAGAGGAAAGTTCTTTTTCATCCATCCGCTAGTTTACTCCCCAGATGGCCACAAGGAGCAGGCCGAAGTCGAGAGCCAGGAACTCTATTCGAGTGTCTCACGTGGGTGCAGGGGCCCAAGCACTTGGGCCATCTCCCACTGCTCTCCCAAGCACATTAGCAGGGAGCTGAATCAGAAATGGAGCAGGGGGCCGGCGCCGCGGCTCACTAGGCTAATCCTCCGCCTAGCGGCGCCGGCACACTGGGTTCTAGTCCCGGTTGGGGCGCCGGATTCTGTCCCGGTTGCCCCTCTTCCAGGCCAGCTCTCTGCTGTGGCCAGGGAGTGCAGTGGAGGATGGCCCAGGTGCTTGGGCCCTGCACCCCATGGGAGACCAGGAAAAGCACCTAGCTCCTGGCTCCTGCCATCGGATCAGCGCGGTGCGCCGGCCATTGGAGGGTGAACCAACGGCAAAGGAAGACCTTTCTCTCTGTCTCTCTCTCTCACTGTCCACTCTGCCTGTCAAAAAAAAAAAAAAAAAAAAAAAGGAAAGAAATGGAGCAGGAGTCAGTGCTGTGGTGTAGTGGGTAGAGCCGCCGCCTGCAGTGCCGGCATCCCATATGGGCACCAGTTCGAGTCCCGGTTGCTCCACTTCCGACCCAGCTCTCCGCTATGGCCTGGGAAAGCAGTGGAAGATGGCCCAAGCCCTCGGGCCCCTACACTCGCATAGGAGACCCAGAAGAAGCTCCTGGCTCCTGGCCCCGCTACAGCCTACAGCGTTGCTGCCATCTGGGGAGTGAACCAGCAGATGGAAGACCTCTCTCTCTGTCTCTCCCTCTTTCTGTCACTCTGCCTCTCAAATTTTTTTTTTTTTAAAGTAGAGCAGCTGGCATTCGAACTGGCACCCGCATGGGGTGCCGGCATCACAGGCAGCTGCAGATTAACCCGCTCTGCCACGGCGCCAGGTGGAACACCCACAGCCTGTCTTGGTAGTGATAGCTGCCATTTGCCGAGCCCTCTGACTGTTTGGTCACTCAGCGCTCGCCATAACGGCCTGAGGCACTGCATTTGCAGGGAAAATGCAGGCCCAGAGATGCCAGGCACTGGGTGGGGTTTGGGGGTGGGGGTGGCTGGAGGTTGCAGCAGCTGCAGGGTGAGGGGTACAGGCTGATGGGCTGGGCTGTTGGCTCTGGGGGAGGCAGGGTGGGAGGGAGCCATGGTGGCAGTGCTGGCTGCTGGGTGGGGGGGAAGGACCCCATGCAGGGAGGAAGTGGGGAGAGAACGCACCCTCGGAACTGGCACTCGGACAGCAGCTGTGTGAGAGAAACCCAGGGAAGAACTTAGAGGGCCCTGGGCTAGGGTGGGGAGGGAGAAGGGGTGTAGGCGACAGGGGTGCAGGCTGGGAGTACAGCCATGGGAGCCACCTGCCTTGGGTGAGGCCCCAGATGGCGGGGGACACAGGGAGAAGGCACGCTTGGGCTGCCCTGGCCTGGTCATCTCCCCAGACTGCGGCTTGCGCCGTGTTCCCGGCCCACCAACCCCCAGAAGCTGGGTGAAGCCAATGTTCCCTCCACAACAGTCAGCAAAGCCGCTCGGAGTGGAAGGGCGCTGCTTGCCCGGGCAGGAGGTGCCGGCAGCGGGGCCGGCCCCTCAGAGCTCCGGGCCCTGTCCAGTTTCCCTCTGGAAGCATCGCAGCGCCATGGCAGGGGGCCAGCAACTGGCCCTGGGCTCTAAGGCCGGGCTCAGCCCAGCCCGTGTTGTATCGCTGAGGCCTTGGTTCCTGGCCCCCTAGCCCGTCTGCGGGTGCTTGGGCAGGAGGGAGCTGACGAGGCCTGCATAGGCCCCTGTGCTCCGGGGACTGTTCAGGTGGAGCCTCATAGGTCCCTGGGTCAGTCACTCACAGGCCATCCGGGGGCACCTGCCAAATACCAGCCCCCCCCCGCACACACAGGGGATTTTACACACAAGGGTCTGCCCAGTCTCCCTGGGAGTGAGGAGTAGAGTGAGGACTAAGCTCAGCCCCTGGCTACACAGGGCCCTGGCCTTGTAGCAGACTGGCCAGGCAGTCAGCAGATGCAGGGCCAGGGGCCACTGAGCGCCTTAAGCACAGAGCGGAAGGAAGCAAAGGCTCCAGAGGGTGAGCACATGCAAAGGCCCTGGGGCGAGAGGGTGCTCGGCACAGCGAGGCTGCCCGTGGGCTAGAGCCGTCAGCCGGGCCAGGTAGGTGGGTGTCTGGAGGGAGCCTGGCCAGAGAACAGAGGGCTCAGCGGGCTGTGGAAGGCATCTCCTGACACCTGGCCTGTGGGGAGGGACTGGACTCAGGAGCACTGAGCAGGGCAGGTGCAGGGAGGGGGCCCCACCTCCCGAAAGATTATGGGCAGGCCCAGAGGGTGCCAGGCTGCCACTCGGCCTAGCAGCTCCCCCAAGGCTGGGTGGGCCGGCCCTGGTGAGTAAGGAGGGCTGAACGTGCAGCTGGCCGGCTCGGAGCCAGCAAGGAGGACAAGCTGTCCCTGGGAAGTCAGACTGCATTCCCCAAGGGGCTGCGGAGGAAGAGGCAGCTGCTTTTGAACTTGGCCCTGTCCCTGTCCCCAGAAAGGCCCTGGCCCATGGTGCCTCTGTCAGGGCAGAATGCGAGGAGCCTTTCTGGAGGTGTACACGACCGAGGGCCTGGTGCTGGGGTCAGAGCCTGGATCCCTCCCTCCCCACCTCCCTGCCCAGGTCAGAGCCTGGATCCCTCCCTCCCCACCTCCCCGCCCAGACAGAGCCTGGATCCCTCCCTCCTCACCTCCCTGCCCGGGTCAGAGCCTGGATCCCTCCCTCCACACCTCCCCGCCCAGTCAGAGCCTGGATCCCTCCCGCCCGGTCAGAGCCTGGATCCCTCCCCTCCCTCACCTTCCCTGCCCAATCAAGAGCCCTGGATCCCCTCCCTCCCCACCTCCCTGCCCGGGTCAGAGCCTGGATCCCTCCCTCCCTCCCCACCTCCCTGCCCGGGTCAGATCCCTCTGTCCCCATGACTACTGAAGCCCTAGCAGAGTACTAGAGCCCTAGCTGCTTCCTGTTGCAGGCTCAGACCAAGGCCTCTCGCACCCACACTGCGGGGTTCTCCTCCCCAGTGGTGTGGCCACACTGGCCCCACCCTCTGCAGCCTCCAATCCCGAGCCCCTTGAGCAGGACAGGGAAGCACCCGTCAGGCCACCCTGCGCTGCCGTGGGCCTGGGAGGATGCTGCTGGCTTCAGCCTTGCGGAGAAGACATGGCCTCCGAAGGCCTAAGTAAGTGGAAAGCCTGCCCCGGGCATGAGGCTGGGCTCCCCTACCCACCCTGAGCGAGGCCTGGGGCTGGAGGCCCAGCGAGGGGCAGACCCACCTGGGCTCTGGCTGGGAGGCAGAACTGAAACTGTGTTCACAGTGGCCAGCTATAGGGGGAGCTGCCGGGGCTTCCGGCCCTGCCGGTGCAGCTGCCCCGGGAGCCTGGCTGCCCCACTTGCTTCTTCCCTGGAGACCAGGGGTTGGGCCCTGTGCAGAGGGCACCCTGAGAGGACTGGGTTCCAGCCTGTGATTGGATGCTGCTGCTGTTAACCTCCCCCCTCCCGCCCACCTCGCCCCCAGGAGTCTGTACAGGGGTCCAGGCAACACCTTTCCCTAGGAGTTCCTCCACCTGGCCACACCCCTCTTGGCACCCTTTGTGAGGACAGGGGCCACTCCTTAGGAGGGCTGATGGGTGCCTCCCATCCGCAGAGGTCCCTGGCTCCTGCAGCCACTCTGGGGGTGCCAGGGCCGGAGCAGCATGGAGCAGGCCCGGCCCTGGCTGGGGTCTCTCCAGGGCCCAGCTTGGTGGCTGCCTAGCCTGTGGGCAGGGGCAGATGCAGGCTGGTGGTGGTGGCTGCAAAGGGGCGGGGAGCGGGGGCTTCAAGGCAGGGACGCGTGGGGCCGGGGAGAGCTCACCGCTGCCCCCCCAGCCCTCTGGTGAGTCACAGCGAGTGATGAGTGTTTTCTGGGAGCGGGGGAGGAGTTTCTGGGCGGGTAAAGAGCATCTTCAGCCGGGAGGGAGGGAGGCGGCTGCCCCCCCCCCGAACCCCCCATCCGCCAGAGAGGGGGGACCCTTGGGCCCCTGGTGTGACCACCTGGAGCCTCCATGGTGGCCAAGAGGACGGGACCTAGGGGAGGCCCTCTGGGGTTAAGTTAGTGCCCCCGGGGACCTCCCCGCCCTGACTCCTCCCCTACCCGGAGGTGCCCGCCCCCTGCCCTGGGCTGTGGCCCTGACGTCACAGCCCTGTCCTGGCCCTGATGCGCCCACTCCACCCACTCCATGAAGGGGGCGGGGAGGCTCTGCAGGCCCCCTTGCTGGACCACCCCCCACCCACAGGCTTCCGAAGCTGCTTCCCCCTCCCACTCCAGCCCCAGCCCCGCCCCTCAGGGCTCCCAGACAATGGGGGAACTGAGTGGATCCTCTTAAAGGGACAGTGTCCCACCCACTGTCTCGCTGCTGCCCTCCACCCCCCACTGCCCACCCCCCAGGTCCACTATATTAACCCCCAGGCCTGGAGCAAGCTGCAGTCGTGGGGGTGGGGTGGGGGGCAGGCTCACCAGGTCCCCATCCTCCTGTCTCCCTCCCTCCCTCCCTCCCTCCCGCACTGCTGCCCATCAAGCCCAGTGCTCCTGTCACCATGTGACCCGCAGCAGATCTGGGCTGTTCTCTGCATGGCCTTGCTGTGGCCCAGACAGTCCAGAACCCCGTGAGGCACATGCCCCTGCGAGCTCACAGGATTCCCCTCCCCCATATTGGCATTTGCCGACCGCCCCCACCCAGCTGAACTGCTGGACCCCACCCTACGGCGGGGTCTGCTTGGGGGAGAAGCCAGGCAGGCAGGTGCAGCTCCTGTGTACCACCTAGAGGCCAGAGGTCACTTCAGCCCTCCCACCTCTGCCGGGCCTTCTGGTAGGACCCCAGGGGCAGGGGTCCCCTGACCTTGGACCTGATGCTACCTCTCTTGGAAGGAAAGCGGGGTGCCCAGCTGGGGCCTGGGTTCTTGACCGTGATCCTGGCGGGTTCATATTGAGCGGATGCCCACCTGTGTCTGGGGGGGGGGACAGGGGACGGGGGAGGGAAGCCTGCCGTTTGCTCCACCCCACCCCACCCCCTGCATCCTGGGCTCCCAGCTTCCGCCCCTCCCTCTGCTGACTGGTGACCAGGAGCTCGGTGCCTGCCCTCTCTGGGACATTTGCCTTGCATGGCAAGCAAGAGACGGGGCTGAGATGAGAACCACCCCTCACCTGTGGAGCTAGCCAGTGGGCCAGACCCTCCGAGTGCAGAAGCACGGTGGGGAGTTGTGCGGGTCGTGCACTGCACGAAGGCCCCCTGCTGAGCGGCCACGACTCCATCCCTGCCTCCACTGGCCAAGCCCCGTGCTCCCAGCACAGGCTGCTCCTGCCCAGAGAGCGTACCTTTACCTCAATCTTGCCCAGGTGCCTCTGGACTGTGGCCAGGCCCAGATGTGTGGGGGGGGCGGGCCCACATTTCAGCCACGCCCTCTCCACGCAGGTGCTGTGAATGCAGTGCCTCCCTTTCGCACCAGTACTACGAGAAGGATGGGCAGCTGTTCTGCAAGAAAGACTACTGGGCCCGCTACGGCGAATCCTGCCACGGGTGCTCCGAGCACATCACCAAGGGGCTGGTCATGGTGAGGCCCCGCCCTGCCCGCAGCCCCGCCCACAGCCCCTCCGGTGCTTTCGGGCGCTTGTGTGCCTGTGCAAGGGCGCTCAAGGGTGTGGCTGCCCAGCCTCTCCCCCTTGCCCCTGGGAGCCCCTCCCACCCCCCCACCCCACCCCGTGCTGTCTATGGCTGGCCTCCCCCATCCCTGTCCATGGCACCAGCTCCGTGCAGGCCGAAGCGGCTGCTGATGGGGCCGTGCCTCTCCCAGGTGGCCGGGGAGCTGAAGTATCACCCCGAGTGCTTCATCTGTCGGACGTGTGGGACCTTCATCGGCGACGGGGACACCTACACGCTGGTGGAGCACTCCAAGCTGTACTGGTGAATGTCGCAAGCTGCCCTCCCGGGGCCCGCCCCCGGGGCCCCTGCCCTTCCCACGGGGTGAGGTTGGAGGGGCAAGCGTGCGTGCCACCCTCTCCCCACACTGTAGAAATGAGCTCGGGGTCCCATGGAGGCCGCCGCAGCCCTCGCCCGGCTTTCTGGCGCATGCATTGGCTGGTACCGCCCACCAAAGCCAGCATGGACCCATTAAGGACGGTCCCCAACAAAGCCATCCTCAGGCCAGACACCTGCCGCGTGTCCGGGGTCCCCAGGCCACTGGCGCTGCCCGGCAGCCAGTCCCCGACAACCTTGTCAGGTTTCGCTGAGTGACTCGCGGAAGTCGGGAAGGCGCTGTGCTGGGGCTGGGGTCCGGCCCCTCCCTCCACAGCGCCCTGGGCAGGCAGAGTTTTCACTGTGGTGTTGCTGTGTAGTCAGCAGCGATCGAATCATTGGCCACCCGAGTCGCCTCCAGCCTCTGGTGCCCTTCCTGGGTGCGAGGGTGGGTGACTGACAGCATGTGGCTGTCCTGTTGGCGGCCGCCCCCACCTGAGTCATCCTGCCCCCACCTGAGTCATCTCAGCAAACAGCGGCAGGGGGCAGGGCTCGCGCATAATCTAGGTGCTTCTGCTTCCTGCTTCCTGCTTCGAGGACATCCCTCCCCCAGGACCCGGGAGAGCCTCCCCTACTCAGCACTTAGAACTTCCTCCCTGACTGGACATCATCCCAGAGACTGGACTGACCCCAGAGCGGGGTGGGGGGGGTGCTCACTTCCTACTCTCAGCCCCGCCCATCAGCTAAGTCCCCATAGGAGGAAGGGGGGAGCTGCTCTCAGCCCCGCCCATCAACTAAGTCCCCCAGGGGAGGAGTGGGGGGGGGCTGCCCATCAGCTAAGTCCCTCTGGGGAGAAGTTGGGGGAGGGGGAGCTGCTCTCAGCCCTGCCCATCAGCTAAGTCCCCCAGGGGAGGAGGGGGGAGGAGAGGGGAGGAGCTGCTCTCAGCCCCGCCCATCAGCTAAGTCCCCCAGGGGAGGGGGGGCAGGGAGGGGAGGAGCTGCTCTCAGCCCCGCCCATCGGCTGAGTCCCCCGGGGAGGCGTGGGGGGGCGGGGAGGAGCTGCTGACACTGTCCTGACACTGTTTCCCTGTCACCGGCTCTTGCAGCGGGCACTGCTACTACCAGAACGTGGTGACCCCCGTCATTGAACACATCCTGCCCGACTCCCCCGGCTCCCACCTGCCCCATACGGTCACGCTTGTGTCCATCCCGGCCTCGGCGCATGGCAAACGTGGCCTCTCGGTGTCCATCGACCCCCCTCTCGGCCCACCGGGCTGCGGCACGGAGCACTCCCACACCGTGCGCGTCCAGGGGTGAGTGGCTGGCGGGTGGCCATGGCAGGTGGCGAGACCCCCGGGGGGTGGCAGGGCCAGCTCCAGTAACGGAGATACCAGGTCCCTGGTGTGGGAGGTCCTGCCTATGAAAAACCATCAAACGCCAGATAAAACCAGGTGCGGTGCGAGGGGCAGCGAGTACACAGGTCAGGAAGGAGGAAGCCCAGGGCTAAGCCAGATTGGGGCAGCCTGGGCTTTGCTTCCGGGCTGAGCCTGGTGGGCCCCCGGGAAGCCAGGGGGCCTCGGGAGCAGGGTGGATGAGAGGCAGACCCTACAAAGTTGGGCTGATGGGAACCCAGATGGAGGAGCCGGGGAGGAATCAAATCCACTCGGGTCTCCAAGCCACAGCCATCTGCCTGGTGCCTCAGAAAACCTCAGGCAAACTCAGAGACGTTTGGCAGGGCACCCTGGGGAGAGCCCACCTGTGGGCTCCACTGCGTTTGCTTCAATGAGAGGCCCCGGGCAGATGAGCAGTGGTGTAGTCAGTAGTCCCTGGGCGGGGGGGGGGGGGGGGGGGGCAGACAGGCCCCGTGATGGAGGGGAGAAGGCCAAGCGAGACCTGCAAAACCTCCAGGTGCTGGGAGTCTCCTAAAAAATTAGCCTTAAAACAAATAAAGGACAAACAAGGTTTGGGAAAGAAAAGAAGCGACTAGAACCCCGTCAACGAAGTCTGTCGAATAACAAGAAACAGAAACATCATGGTAAGAGGGGTGCCGGGGACAGCCTGCGAGAAGCCAAGCGGACAGCAAGGTGCAAGCTGTGGGAGAGGTTCAGACACGGACACGCGGGGGCCGGAGGGAGGGCTCCTGGCCCTCACAAGCCTGCAGTCCCGGGGGGAGGACCGAGGGGGACCCAGAGAGAGGCAGCCCTGGGAGGCAGGCTGGCTGACCCTGCGGGTCTCAGACAGAGGCAGAGCCATCAAGGACTCCACTCACGGCAAAACAAAAGACTTTCAAAGCAACCATAGGGGAAGAAACTGCCTTCAAAGATTGACTGGTGAATTCTCAAACAGTGGGAGCCAGAAATCAGATGCTAATTTCTTCTTTAAAAAAAAAAAAAAAAGGATTTATTTATTTATTTATTTATTTATTTGAAAGGCAGAGCTAGGGAGAGAGAGAGCGAGAACAAGTGAGAAAGAGATCTTCCGTCTGCTGGTTCACTCCCCAAATGCCCACAATGGCCAGGTGGAAGCCAGGAGCTCAAGAGTTTCATCCGGGTCTCCCACGTGGGTGCAGGGGCCCAAGCACTTGGGCCATCCTCCGCTGCCTTCCCAGGCACATCAGCAGGGAGCTGGGCTGGAAGTGGAGCAGCGGGGATTTGAACCGGCACTCACATGGGATGCCGGTGTGGCAGGCAGCAACTTAACCGGCTGTGCCAGCGCGCGGGCCCCGGAGGTGCTGTTGTCAGCGCACCAATCAAATGTATTTCACCCAGAATTCTCTATGAGAACACCCTTCAAGGATGAGGGTGGAAGAGGCAGGCGGTTCTGACGAGGATTCTAATGCGTGTAGGAGACCCGAGGTGCCGGCAGGGGTGGAGACGAGAGCTGGCCAGGTCGCAAGCGCTCCGTGTGACCGACCAAGCAGCTCCTGTGCCCTCCGTGGACCGGGCTCCGCCTGGATAGCGCGAGATGCGGAAACCTACCTTTGTCCTGCGCCTTCACTGGCACCCCCAGATGCAAATGCCCTGACTCATGGGCGCTGCATCGAGCCGAGGTTTCTCACACGCCTGCCAGGTAACCAGGCAGCACACCTGGGCCCTGGCGAGAAGTCAGACGGAAGGTGGGACAGTGGGCTGGCCGCTATATCTGCCACAGCCGCCTTATGCGTGCGCAGACAGGGCAGCAGACAGGAAGCCCCCCGCCCCGGGTGCAGGGCCCCTCGCAGTGGGGCCACATCTGGTGGTCCAGCGGTTGTCTGTTAGGAGCCCAAAGGCACGCTGGACGTGGTGGGCCCCTTTGAGTCTTCATCCAAGAAGGTTTCATCCATTAGGGCATTAGGACCCTTGGCCCTGGCGGCCTTAGCGGGGTGGATGCCTAAGGCTGCCTCTAAGGGAAGCCGTGGCCGCCAAAGGCCTCCTATAGTCTGGTTTCCAACATTTCGTCTTGAACTTGATAGAGAATTGGGCTAAAATGGTACATGCGCTGATGACCTGTGCAACTCCAGCCTGGGTTCACGAAGTTTAAACTTTGCCATTGGGGCCGGCGCTGTAGCATAGCAGGTAAAGCCACCACCTGCAGTGCCAGCATCCCATATGGGCACCAGTTCGAGCCCCAGCTGCTGCTCTTCTGATCCAGCTCTCTGCTATGGCCTGGGAACATGGCCCAGGTCTTTGGGCCCCTGCACCGCGTGGGTGACCAGGAAGCTTCTCCTGGCTCCTGGCTTTGGATCAGCCCAGCTCCGGCCGTTGTGGCCATCTGGGGAGTGAACCAGTGGATGGAAGACCTCCCTCCCTCTCTTTCTGCCTCTGCCACTCTGTAACTCTGCCTTCAAGTAAAACAAATAAATCTTTAAAAAAGAAAGAAACTGCCCTGTCTGGGCATGGGGATGGGGGTCTCCCACCAGACAGGATCAGGCATGGTGGATCGAAGCGTGTCTTCAGGTGACGTCATCAGCATTCAGGTCACAGAGCCGACTGGCCTGCTAAGACGGTGCGCATGTGTCCTGGGGGGTTATCTTCCGGGACCACTGTCACACACAGCCTGTCACTGACAGCAGTGTCCTTGGGTAGCGGGTGACTGTGTAGACAGATACGAATACCCCGCACACATACACACACCCTGCAAATGCTGTAGATGGTCTGCTAAAGTCCAGGGCATGCTCTTACGTAACTTCACATTTAGGAGACCTGGCATGGATACTGTTATGGAGCTGCCACTCCGCGTTTAGGCTTTGCCGGTTGCGGCTGTCCTCTCCCTCCGTGGCAGGGTCCCCGGTCCCCATCCAGGCAGCTCCAGCCTTGTGCTTCGTCCTCAGCGCCTCTGCAGCTCCGCAGCCTCTCTGGGTCTCCAGCGGTTGCTCAGCTTTGCCCTCCGTGACCTTGAGTATCCGGGTCAGTGGTGAAGCTGGACGTCTGTCCGCGGCCTTCCTCCGTGTCCGCTGGCGGTAGACTGAGCCGCTGCCTCTTAGCCCGATCCTGCGCATGTAGGGGCTGTCTTGCCAGGAGCCGCGTGACATCAGCGCGCCCTCCATCGGGGAGGGTAGCCTCAGTTCCTTGGTTCATTTTTCTCAACCCTAAAGGATTTTCAACCCTTTGTAATCAGTAAGCCATCTGTGAGCTTTTAAAAAAAAATTATTTATTTGAAAGGCAGAGAGAGAGGTCTTCCATCTGCTGGTTCACTCCCCAGATGGCTTCGGCTGATCCGAAGCCAGGAGCCAGGAGCTTCTTCCAGATCTTCAACATGGGTGCAGGGGCCCAAAGACCTGGTCCATCTTCACAGGCCATAGCAGAGAGCTGGATCAGAAGAGGAGCAGCTGGGACTCGAACCGGCGCCCATGTGGGATGCTGGCACTGCAGGCGGTGGCTTTACCTGCTATGCCACAGTGCCGGCCCCCATCCGGTCTGCAGATGCCCTGGGCCCCGACAGCCAGGCAACCTTAGCATTCCTTGCCGGTGATCCGCGACTGCACGGTGGCTGTGAACCCACCGAGATCTGGCCCCACGCTTCCTGCTGTCCCCATGGGCTCCCCCCCTCCCGCCCCCTGGTGAGAAGACTCTGCCTAGGGAAGTTTCCACGCATCTGTTTCTCTTAAAGCTCCCACACTCTCCCCCCAACCCCAGGACATTCCTGCAAAGGCTTCCGTGAGACAGAATGAAAACCAGATAATTCACGCCCGAGACAGAAAAGCAGCAAGTGAGGGTGGCACACGGGCCAGTCTGTGAGCTAGCTTAGCATCATGTACCCCAGGGCACCGTCGCCAGCTGCACCCTGCAGCTGGGGCTCTGGGCAAGTTGCAACCCACCCCCAACCGCACCCCTGCCCGCCTGCCAGTGCAGCCTTGTCCTGGGCCAGTCTCCGCCCGGAGCATGGCAGCCAGTTAGAAGGATTGGTCTGTCCTCCCTGGTGGAAGTGACCTTGTGTTGAATGGGAGCAGCTGAACCTCCTGCACAGAGTGACAAGTGCCTTCCGGCAAGCCAGCTGCCTCCTGTTCTCGCCCACGGCAGACATCAGTAATTGATTGCAGAGTTCATCCCACCAGAGACCTGGAGAGTTGCCACCTGGCCCCATCTGGTCCGCCTGGCTTTGGTTTCCTGTCGGGGCTCCAGGGGATCAGGGCGGACATGGGTGTGATCACTGCTCTCTGCCTGCAGACTGGACCCAGGCTGCATGAGCCCAGATGTGAAGAACTCCATCCACGTGGGAGACCGGATCCTGGAGATCAATGGCACTCCCATCCGGAATGTGCCCCTGGATGAGGTAGGGGGCCCGGGGCAGAGGCCGGGTCGGGGGTGGTCCCCCCCCCACCGCCCAGGTCTCACCTGTCCCCGCTCCTGCTCTCCCCAGATTGACCTGTTGATCCAGGAAACCAGCCGCCTGCTTCAGCTGACGCTCGAACATGACCCCCACGACTCGCTGGGCCACGGGCTGGGGCCTGAGCCCAGCCCCTTGGGCTCCCCAGCTGCACACACTCCCGGCGGGGAGGCGGGCAGCTCCCCCCGGCAGAAACCCGTGCTGTAAGTGAACCTGTGTCTCGGTGTCTCCAGGCACAGCCGCGGTGCTGGGCCTCAGGGCCGTGGGACCTGGTCATGGCCTCCCCGGGGATGCCAGGGACGGGGGAGAGGACAGGTACTGAGAAGCAGGAAGCTGAGAGAATTGCAGAGGTGTCCAGGGAGGACCCACGTCCTGGCTTCAGGGAGCAGCCGGCTACAGGGTCAGGGTGAAGGGGTGTGGCTGGGGACGGGGTCCCGTCCGTGGCAGCCCCTCCACCGGCGGTGTGGCAGCAAAGTGACAGGTCTCACAGACACCACTCTGGTTCCTTGTGCGGAGGGGGCATGGAGTGGGACACTCGAGGCCAGAGACAGTACACTGGTTCAGGCAGCAGGTGCCAAGGGTCCCCCAGCTTGTTGAACCTGGGGAGGAGGCAGAGGGACATGAGGAAGAACCCAGGGGCAGTCCTGACCTCTCCCCAACTGTGGGGCCTTCTGGGGTGACAGCCTGAGACACAGTGAGGTTAGAGACCCTCTCCCTCCTCCTGCCTGTATTTGCCTGGAGCGCAGGCCGCCATGTAGGGCTGCCTCTGTGTGGCGTTTCTATGTCAGACAAGGTGTCTGCCTCTGTCCCCATGCATTGGGAGGCAGCGTCCAACCTAGGGCCACCAGGCACAGGAGGCCGAGGCCAAACATTCCACCAGGGGCACCAAGCCCTGTGGTGGGCCTCAGACAGGAGGGTGGAGCAGGGCTGGGGCCGGCGCGAGGGTGGGACAAGCAAGCAGCCACGACACTGTCCTGGAGGGCAGAGCTGTGCCACCCCCTCCCAGACAGGGTTGGGGCAGGGAGAGGGTCTGGCAGGAGGAAGGGGCGGAGCCTGCCCCCCACCCCCACCCCGTGGCACTGGGCACTCCGTGTCTCCCCAGGAGGAGCTGCAGCATCGACAGGTCCCCGGGGGCCGGCTCACTGGGCTCGCCTGCCTCCCAGCACAGGGACCTGGGCCGCTCGGAGTCCCTGCGTGCGGTCTGCCGGCCGCACCGCATCTTCCGGCCGTCCGACCTCATCCACGGCGAGGTGCTGGGTAAAGGCTGCTTCGGCCAGGCCATCAAGGTACAGGGCGGGCAGCCGGGCCGGGGCTCCAGGGGCCTCCTGGAGCCCAGCAGGGGGACGGGAGGCTGACCCCGCAGTCCTGTCCCCAGGGTCTGAGCCTGCTGATATCCAGGTGCTTACCCGCCCCAAGCCGGGACAGGAGCCATCCTGGCCCTGACATCACCTGCCTGTGTCACCAGCTGTCCCTGGTCCCTGGCTGAGCTGCTGTCCCAACTCCAGGGGGCAGAGCCAGGAGAACTGAACCCAAGCACCCGCAGCCCCCTTCCCTGCCGGCTGGGTGGCCTCGGGCCGTGCTGGGCTCAGTGTCCTTGACTGTCCAGGGGTGGGGACTCCCCACCCAGAAGAGCCCCACAGTGCCTCTCATCTCCCCAGCAGTCCCAGGGTCGGGGTGGGGCTCCCCAGAGCCCACGCCTGCCCTGAGACATGCCACCACCACACTGTCCCCCACACAGGTGACACACCGGGAGACGGGCGAGGTGATGGTGATGAAGGAGTTGATCCGCTTCGACGAGGACACCCAGAGGACGTTCCTCAAGGAGGTCGGTGGCGCCAGGCCGGGGGCCCTGCCCCTGCTGGGGGAGGGGAGGGGAGCAGCCCTGGCCAAGAGTGTGGCGGCCCCAGCCAGGGGTGGTGGGGGCCAAGGGACCAGGGCACCGGGGCACTGGGGCACAGTCTCTGGGACTGGGTGTGGCCCCTGCTGGGATGCGGGAGGCAGGAGGAGACCCCGGCTGGGCCCAGCCTGTGTGTCCCCTGTCAGGTCAAGGTTATGCGCTGCCTGGAGCACCCCAACGTGCTCAAGTTCATCGGGGTGCTGTACAAGGACAAGAGGCTCAACTTCATCACGGAGTACATCAAGGGCGGCACCCTGCGGGCCCTCATCAAGAGCATGGTGAGTGCCCTGGCAGCCCGGGTCTCCGGAGCTCTGCCCTGGGGTCCCAGAGGCCCTGCCTCTGAGCCGGGCGGGGGAGCCGCCCACTCCGTTGCAAGCCGGGAGAAGCCTGGGCCACAGAGAAGCCAGCAGTGTCACCAAGGGGACGCACGGACTGTGTGGGGTTAGCCATCCAGTGGGCCTCAGGCCTGACCCGGAGAAGCCCGAGCCGGCTGCACCTGCTGTGGGCAGAACACCTGGTGAGAGAGGTACCTTGGCCGTTACAGCCCATGCATGGGCCTTTACTTGATTTGCTGCAAAGCAAAATTATTTTCACTGTTTAAACACGGGCCGTAAGATGTGTCAGTTTGAGGGTCTGGCTGAACATGCAGATCCACACGCAGAAAAATAAACGGCCCGAGCCGTCCATCACTCAACCCGTGGGATGAGGCCTGGCCCCACCCTGAGACCCAGAGAGACCTTGACTCCTGCGGGCTCCCAAGGGCTGTCGCTTCTCATGAGGGGTCCTGTTCCTGCCGGCTCCTCCTTGTTCCCTCCCGTTTCCAGGGGAGGGGATCAGAGAAGGATGGCTCGCGCCCGAAGCCCTGTTCTGCAGGAGTGATGTCACCAGGCCTTCCCCTCTGCCTGTTCCCATTGCAAAACTTGAAAGGCAGTGGATTTGTGGAGGACAAGTACTAGCCAGTACTTGGATCCGGCCAACTATGGATCAGAAATATTGGGGGGGGGGGATGTTGTCTGTCCTAAGCACGTGCACACCTCTCTCCCTTGTCCTTGTCCCTCAGACGACAGGAGGTCACACCAGCCATTGGCACGACCTTGACTTTGCCCTTGCCCTAGGCATTATGACGGCATTATGCCCTCTGGAAGCCACCGGGAGATTTCATGGGTTCTGCCCCTTGGCAGACGAGGGAGTTGAGGGCCCCAGGTGTGGGTGTCCTAGGGGTGCAGGTGCCGTGCCCCCCCCACAGAGGCCAAAGGCCACGGGAAGGTCTTACACTGGGGGGGGGAGTGCTGGCTGGGGACTCTAGAGGAAACCTGACTGGAGGTCAAGGGCGCCTGGAGCTGCTCACACTCGCCCCCTAGAGGCAGACGGCCAAGGGCACAGGAGGGCGTGGGGATACCTGCCCCTTACACCTGTCTCTCACACGACTCCCGGCCACCGGGGCTCCCCGGGCTCCGTCCTGGCCATTCTCTCTGCACCCCCAGGACAGCCAGTACCCGTGGAGTCAGAGGGTCAGCTTCGCCAAGGACATCGCATCAGGGATGGTGAGTGGGCCGGGGCCCAGCCCCACTCGCGAAGGCTGTGCTGTCCTGAGCTTCCACGGGCGGGCAGGCATTAGCCTAATGGTTAGGATGGGTGAGCGCCTGGCTCCGCCCCCTGGCTCCAGCTTCCTGCTAATGTGCACCCCTGCAGGCCACACTTGGGTCCCTGCCACTCACATGGGAGACCTGGATGGAGTTCTCAACTCCCAGCCCCGGCCCCAGCCCTGGCCCAGCTAGGGATTGAACCAGTGGATGGTGGGGAGGGGAAGCTCTGTGTTTCTCCACCTCTGGAGTGAATTTTTTAAAAACGAACAAAGCAACCCACAAGGCAGCTTTGGACAGGGCCACAGCTCACTGGGGAGGGGCCCCTCGGCGTGGCTGCCCCCCCCCGACTTTTGTGCCCTCTCCCTCCCAGGCCTACCTGCACTCCATGAATATCATCCACCGGGACCTCAACTCGCACAACTGCCTGGTCCGAGAGGTGAGCCGCTGCCGGGCCGGGGTGGGGTCGTCGGCAGGAGCCAAGGAGCCATCCCTGACCCGGGGGCCCCTGGGTGGCCCCGCAGCTGCAACCTGGGGAGAGCCTATGGGGAAGCAGCTCAAGGTCAAAGGTGGGTGGACCTGGGTTCAAGCCCTGGTTCTGCGGTGGACTCACACTGTGGCTGTGACCCTCGGGGCCGTCAGCACCCTGGGTTGTTCCCGGGGGAGGGTGCCTAGAGACACGTCGGCTGTAAGGGCCCAGGAACGTAGCCTCACAGAGCACAGCCCAGGGCAAGGTGGCCTCGGGCTGGGCCAGAGTGTGCGGAGGATGTAGTGTGTGGGCTGGTGTGGTCAGGGCAGGCTTCCTGCAAGAGGCAGGTCTGGGGGGTGGAGGCAGAGAGCCGGGTCTGAGAGGTGGTGCTCAAGGGGGCAGGAGTCGCCTCACCCAGCCTGGGAGGGGGCAGATTCGGTCCCAGGGCTGCCGGCCTCAAGTCCCGCGGACCCGACAGCTTCAACCACAAGAGGAGGAGCTATGAGAACTCGGGTCAACAGCTAAGGGGTGGCCAGGGCTGGTTCCTTCTGGCAGCTCTGGGCTCACATGTCACTCGCCTCGGTGCCGGCTGCTGGCAATGCACCCCCCACACCGCTCCTGCCTCTGCCTCCCCGTTGTTCCCGCGGCCGTCTGGACCCCCGGGGCCCCATAGGCAAAGGCCCCTTTCTGAGTGAGCTCACTGCTGATGGGAAGTGGGGGCGGGGACACTGTTATTCACCACAGTTCAGGGCCATGAGACCCAGCGTGGCGGGGAGGGCAGTACAGGGAGTTGCAAGGGAAGGGAGCAGCACGTGCAAAGGCCCTGAGACAGGAAGCTCAGCACGGGATGAGTCCAGGTGGCGGTCAGAAAGCTCTGGGAGCCTGCAGGCTGTGGGTGGTGGCCTGCAGGCAGTGAGCGGTGGGCGAGGCTGGGTCTCCCAGGCCTCCCAGTGGGTGCCTGCACACTGCCCGGAAGGGAGTCCCTGCAGGCCCAGCCCGGACCCTCACAACCTCCACCCCTTGAGAGTCCGGAGCCATGAGCCCTCCAGTCCCCAAAGCCATCCCTCACAGCCAGAGCGCTGGCTCTGAGCGTCCAGTGCCTGCCCTGGAGCCCCGTCCCCCCATCTTCTGGAAGGGGTGGGGCAGGACCGGCTCTCGCACAGTCCCCAAGGGACATTGGCCTCTTAGAAGCACTGCCCGGTGTGGAGAGGATGGCCTAGGACCTCCTGACCCAGCTTCCACTTGGGATCACAGCCAGACAGCCCCCGCGGCCAAAGCAGGCCGGCCGCGTTCCCGTGTGTCACTGCCACAAGCAGCTCCGGACCTCCCTTGCAGAAGAGCCGGCTCCTAACCCCCACCTGGCTAGGCCCCCCCCCACTCATCCTCCTGGTGTCCACGCAACAGCAGCCCACCCTGGGGCTGGGAGTCAGCCCCAGGACCCACAGAGCACTTGTTCAGCCCCCTGACCTCATCTCCCAGGGTTCCGTCTGGCTGGGCTGAGCCAGCAGTCAGTGCCTCATCCTGTACAGAGAGGTCCGGGCAGGGCCCTGGGGTGCCCTCAGACCCCACGCTGCAGAGGCCCGGCGTGGGATCCCAGCCCTGCCCCTGACCAGCTGGGTAGCCTTGGGTGGCTTCCTTAGCCTCTCTGGGCATGGGTCGCCTTCTCTGTCGCGTGGGGATTAAAAATAGCACCCACGTCACCAGGTGGTTGGCAGAAAGGTAAAATGCGTGACCCACCACACCTAGGACGGGGTCTCCATGCGGAGTTCCAGCCGCTGGCTGGTCCCTGGCTGTGGGTCCTCCAGCTCCCTCTGGCCAGGGCTAATCCCGGCTGGCCCCTGTCTGCCAAGACCCTCAGTGGCCTCTGCATGTGTCCACGGAAGATGGCATGCTCACAGGTCCCAGGGATCCGAGCGGGGGCTGCTCCAGTGCCCCCACTCCCGGCTCGCAGGTGCCAGGGCTCCGTGGCCCGTGGGTGTGCCCCCTGCCAGGCCTGGGGAGGTGGAGGAAGCACGAGCAGGCCGGGGCCCGAAGGGGTCCCCACCCTGTGCCAGCCTCCAGGGCAGATCGCAGCTGGAAGCAGGCTTGGTGGGCAGTGTCAGGGCCGTGGCCCAGCGCGCCTCTGCCTGCCCCGTCCCCAGAACAAGAACGTGGTGGTGGCCGACTTCGGGCTGGCACGGCTCATGGTGGATGAGAAGAATCAGGCCGAGGACCTGCGCAGCCTCAAGAAGCCGGACCGCAAGAAGCGCTACACCGTGGTGGGCAACCCGTACTGGATGGCGCCCGAGATGATCAATGGTGAGGCCCCTCCCCTGGGGGCGGGGCCTGGGCACAGTGGCACAGGCCACACACTCTGCGATTCCATAACCAATTTCCCTGTCGCCCCGGGGTTCAGAAGTGCAGCCTCGCTCCCAGCAGCCAGACCAAACCACACTCCTTCTAGAAGCTCCAGGGAGACGCCGCCCCCTGCCTCTCCCAGCTCCGGCTTGTACTGCATTTCTGGGGCAGCCGTGGCCTCCCCTGCCTGGCCACACTGTTTTTTGTTGTTGTTATTGTTGTTTTTAAGATTTATTTATTGATTTGAAAGGCAGAATTATAGGGGCCGGCACTGTGGCACAGTGGGTTAACGCCCTGGCCTGAAGCACCGGCATCCCATGTGGGTGCCAGTTCGAGTCCCGGCTGCTCCACTTCTGATCCAGCTCTCTGCTATGTCCTGGGAAAGCAGTGGAGGATGGACCACGTCCTTGGGCCCCTGCACCCGTGTGGGAGACACAGAGAAAGCTCCTGGCTCCTGGCTTCAGATCGGCACAGCTCCGGCCGTTATGGCCAACTGGGGAGTGAATCATCAGATGGAAGACCCCTCTCTCTCTGCCTCTCCCTCTCTCTGTGTAACTCTTTCAAATAAATAAATAAATCTTTAAAAAAAAAAAAAATTACAAGGAGGGAGAGGCAGAGAGAGATCTTCCATCTGCTGGTTCACTCCCCACATGGCCACAACAACCAGGAGCTTCTTCCGGATCTCCCGCGGGGGTGCAGGGGCCCAAGGCCTTAGGCCATCTTCCACTGCTTTCGCAGGTGCATTAGCGGAGAGCTGGATTGGAAGTGGATGTATATGGGATGTCAGCTTTGCAGGTGGTGCCACAGTAGCTCCCCCCCCCCCAGCTGATCACAGCTCCTTCCGTCTGCAAAGACCCCTTTGTCCGGAGGGTGACAGTGGCAGGGTTCCTGGGACGGGAGCCAGTTGTGTTTCGCGGCCAGCGCTGAGTCCGTGACCTCCCTGGAGACCTGCAGCTGGTCACAGCCAAGCTAGACCAAGAGTCCCCCCACCTCCCAGAGTGCCACTTGGAGCCTGCACCCGGAGCCCCGTGAGGCGTGTCCCCACCTCCCCTGGCCTGGCCACCCTGGGCCCTGGCCTGCCACCCTGGCTGACGCTCCGTCCCCTCCTGCAGGCCGCAGCTACGACGAGAAAGTAGACGTGTTTTCCTTTGGGATCGTCCTGTGTGAGGTAGGTCCCGGGTTGGGCAGCTGCAGGCCGGGGAGGCTCCTGGGGACCCCCTGCAGACCCCCTTCCTGGGCCGGGAGCCCAGTAGCCTAACCGCCGCGCCTGGCCGCACAGATCATCGGGCGCGTGAACGCGGACCCCGACTACCTGCCCCGCACCATGGACTTCGGCCTCAACGTGCGAGGCTTCCTAGACCGCTACTGCCCCCCGAACTGCCCCCCGAGCTTCTTCCCCATCACTGTGCGCTGCTGCGACCTGGACCCCGAGAAGAGGTAAGGCCTGGGGGTGGCGGTGGGGGCGGGGCCTCGGCCTGGCGCCGCCCCCCGCAGAGCCCGCCCCAGCGGCCGCCCTGCCTGTCATCCCAGGCCCTCCTTCACGAAGCTGGAACAGTGGCTGGAGACCCTGCACATGCACTTGGCGGGCCACCTGCCCCTGGGCGCGCAGCTGGAGCAGCTGGACAGGGGATTCTGGGAAACGTACCGGCGCGGCGAGAGCGGACTGCCTGCCCACCCTGAGGTCCCTGACTGAGCCCGGCCCACCCAGCTGCCCCTGCCCCCGCCGCCAGGCAGTCCGCCCACCCCAGATCTCTCCGAGGAGGCGGCCCCGTGTGCAGCTCCCCTCTGCCCCGAGCCAGGCCCTGCCCTGCCTTCTCCCTGCCAGCCACAGACCTCACGCCCGCCTGCCCCTGCCCCGCCCCGCCTTACCTCTGCCTTGGTGGGGCCGCCCTCGCTTCTCCCTGCATGGGCCGGGGGTCGTCCTGGCCTAACTGCGCGCTGCGCCCGACCCAGCTCCTCCGAGGCTGGGCTGGGAGGAGAGGCCTGCGTATCGCGGTGGGTGGCCTCCTCCGCAGCAGGGAGGGGTCTGGGGGCGAAACGGGAACGCCCCCTGGCCAGGCAGCACTCCCACCCCACCCCCTCCTGCTTTGGGCCTTTTTCGTTTCTGTATCAAAGCCACTTTCGTGGGAAGCAGGTACCAGGCCTCAGGGTGAAGCGGGGTCCCTGGAGGGAGGTGGGGGGCGCGGGAGGGAGCGGCCAGGCCCTGGGGGCGGGGCTTGTCCACCAGCAGCCCCGCCCCTGAGGTTCATCCCCCGGAGGCCCCTACCCCTCTCCCCGCGCGGCCCTGTCCTCTGGGTTCTTTCTGTGTAATCTATTTTTTAAGAAGAGTTTGTATTATTTTTTCATAACGGCTGCAGCAGCAGCAGCTGCCGGGGGCTTAGGGGGTTTATTTTTTTTCCGGCGGGAGGGCCATTTTGTCACTTTGCCTCAGTTGAGCGTCTCGGAAGTATTAAAACTGTGAAGCCTTCTCCGTGCACTTTGAGCCTGGAGAACAGTCCGGACAGGCCCCCCCGGGGGACGCTCGCTTCCATCCGGGAACCATGCCGTCCAAGAACAAAACCCAGGCTGGGAACAGCGAAATAAATTCTGTGCTCCCCACGCGGGTCCTGCGGTGCCATGAATGGGGGCGGGGAGGGGCGGGGAAGTGATCCAGAAAGGAGTGGTACATTTGGTTGATTTTCTTGAAGTGGTTTGATTTCTATCTATGTGAAAGTGGTGGAGGTCTTCCATCGGCTGGTTCACTCCCCGAGTGGCTGTGAAATCGGAGAAGACCCCCTTAAATTTACACTGAAATGTGGCCTTTTCAAGTTCCCTAGAAATGCTAGAACCCGGTGTGCCGGCACCGCTAGGCGGAGGATTAGCCTAGTGAGCCGCGGCGCCGGCCCGTAGCCCGGCTTTTAACCCACTTCCAAAGAGGAGTGGTTAATTAACCTGATTGGCTCGTGGGCACCCAGGTGTGGCCAGGTAGGGGAATGAGGTCACACAGGGGCGTGGCGAAGGCGTGGTCTTCCGGTTCACAAATCTGATCAATTTTAACCTGTATGCCTGCCTACTTCAGCTGCAGTGGTTGGGGCTGAACCAGACAAAAGCCAGGAGCCAGGAACTCTATCTGGGTCTCCCACGTGGGTGGCAGGGACCGGCACCTGCTGCCTCCCGGGGTGCGTATCAGCGATGTGTGGGCATCCCAAGCGTTGTCTTAGCTGTGCCAAGCTGTTTGCCACCCCCCAAGGAGTCTGGGGGGCAGACCGGGGTCGTGGAGGGCACGAGAGCACCTGACCTCAGCCCAGGGTTCACGTCCAGAGGCGGCGTGGCTGTGCTGCATTTATTCTCCATGTGCTCAGAGTGGATTTACTGCAGGGCTTGGTCCTACAAGTGTGGGAAATCCCTGGGGTGGCAAAACGTGGATGCCGAGGGGCCCACTGGGTGGTGGTGGGGGACTGCAGGGACGGGCCGCCACCCCACGGAGAGAGTGTCCCTGGTGTTGCATGACAAGGTATCCCTGAGCTTGAATTCTCATCGCCCGAATGTTTATCAAAGATTTGGGAGCAGCTTGGGTAGGGTCTGGGGTCTCTGCAGAGTGCTGAGTTACTGCCCGGGGCTGCTGTGCGCAGCGGGTCCGACTCCGGCTGGAGGATCCAGGTCCGGGCCCCTTGCCGAGGCGCGCGGTCAGCAAGCCGATGCTGGCCGGCGGCAAGCATCGTCCAGGTGAGACCACAGGGCAGCTGCGCATCCGAGCAGAAACGCCGCTGTCGTCTGTAACCCAGATTGGGAGGTCCCCTCATCGCTTCTCCCAGTTCTGTTGATCAGTGTAGGGGGCCACACTGGACGCGAATACCAGGACCCGGAGGGCCCGCTGGGGTCGCCCCCGGACCCAGCTCTGGGATGGCTGATGGGCTGCGTTTCCCAGGAAGGGAGGGGCAGGTGCGGACTTCCTGCCTGTCCGTCAGCGCAGGCGAGCGGGAGGAAGTCCCTCCCCTTTCGCCCTCTGCTTCCCTACCGCCGGCACCGAGGTCTGGGAAGAGGAAGTGTGGTTTTGGGAGCGCGCCTGGGACCCCGTGACCCCGCACAGCCCACCCCTGCGGCGCACGGAGCGCGCCTGGAACCCCGTGACCCCGCACAGCCCACCCCTGCGGCGCACGGAGCGCGCCTGGGACCCTGTGACCTCTCACAGTCCACCCCTGCGGCGCACGGAGCGCGTCTGGGACCACGAAATCCCGAACAGCCCACCCCTACGGCACAAGGAGCACGCCTGGAACCCCGTGACCCCGCACAGCCCACCCCTGCGGCACATGGAGCGCGCCTGGAACCCAGTGACCCCGCGCAGTCCACAGTCCATCCCTCCGGCGCACGGAGCGTACCTGGGACCCCGTGACCCTTCACAACCCACCCCTGCGGCACATGGAGAGCACCTGGGACCCGGCGACCTAGACCGACCCACCCCTGTGGCGCACTGAGCACGCCTGGAACCCCGTGACCCCGCACAGTCCACAGTCCATCCCTCCGGCGCACGGAGCGTACCTGGGACCCCGTGACCCTTCACAACCCACCCCTGCGGCACATGGAGAGCACCTGGGACCCGGCGACCTAGACCGACCCACCCCTGTGGCGCACTGAGCACGCCTGGAACCCCGTAACCCCGCCCAGTCCACCCCTGTGGCGCACTGAGTGCGCCTGGGACCCCGTGACCCCGCGCAGTCCACAGTCCATCCCAGCGGCGCACGGAGCGCACCTGGGACCCAGTGACCCCGCACAACCCACCCCTGCGGCACATGGAGAGCACCTGGGACCCGGCGACCTAGCCCGACCCACCCCTGTGGCGCACTGAGCATGCCTGGAACCCCGTAACCCCGCACAGCCCACCCCTGTGGCGCACTGAGTGCGCCTGGGACCCCGTAACACTGCACAGCCCACCCCTGAGTCGCACAGAGAGCACCTGGGACCCCGTAACACGGCACAGCCCACCCCTCCGGCACACGGTCCGCGCCTGGGACCCCGGAACCCCGCACAGCCCACCCCTGCGGCTAGGCCACAGCCACAGCCAAGGCCGCCCTTGAGCCACGTCGGGTTGCCATTCAGGCTTCCACTGCAGACTCCAGGGAGAGACTTCCATAGTGAACTCATCAGCATCGTGGATGCTTTCACGTCAAGGAAGGAAACTCAGAGGAGAGAAACGTTCCGCTTTTCATTTGTGTATTTGAGAGGCAGAGGGCGTTCCTGTCTCCTGGCTCACACTCCACACCAGCCAGGCCTGAAGCCAGGAGCTGGGAACTCAGTCCAGGTCGCCCACGCGGGTGGCAGGAACCCGATGATTTGAGCCATCATTGCTGCCTCCCAGGGTGTGCACTGGCAGGAAGCTGGGGTCGGGAGATGGAGCGGGGACTCAAACCCAGGTTCTCAGCTCCGCTGTAGGATGCAGGCATCCTAACCACTAGGCTAAACGCCCACCTCAAGACTTAATACCTGGGGCCTGCGCTGTGGTGTAGCGGGTAAAGCCACTGCCTGCAGTGCCAGCAGCCCATGTGGGCGCCGGTTCTAGTCCCAGTTGCTCCTCTTCCAGGCCAGCTCTCTGCTGTGGCCCGGGAGTGCAGTGGAGGATGGCCCAAGTGCTTGGGCCCTGCACCCCATGGGAGACCAGGAGAAGCACCTGGCTCCTTCCTTTGGATCAGCACATTCCAGCCATTGCGGCCAATTGGGGAGTGAGCCAGCGGATGGAAGACCTCTCTCTCTCTCTCTCTCTCTCTCTCTCTCTCTCTGTAACTCTTTCAAATAAATAAATAAATCTCCAGAATGCAGGGAGCAAAACCTGATAGAGCAACAGGAAAAAGAGACCTGCCCTGAGTGCCTGGGCCTCTCAGGTAGCTCCGGGCCCAGCCCAGCCTTCGGCCCACTGCGGCCCCAGCCAGGATCTCAGCTGGAGGCTTAGGAGAGCCCTAGAGCCAGAGCCGCCCAGCAAAGCCAGCCCTGGATCCACGCCCTCAGAAGCTGTGGGAGAGAAATGCTTGTTGGTACTTCAAGTCACCAGGTGTGCAGGTCATTTGTTAGACCGGGAGCAGGTGGCTGATTTGGCTTCTTCGCTCCCCTGGCCATGACCTGAGCGGAGAATCTCAAGTCCCAGGCTAATTCTTTTTTCTCTGTAGCTCTGCAACACGTTCAGAAATGACCCACTCTACCGTGTTTATTTGAGGACTTGTGGAGTTAAGAGAAGGTGGCCCAGGTCCCTGGGTCCCTGCCACCCACCCATGGGGGAGATCAGTTTGGAGCTGCTGGCTTTGGCCTGGCACAGCCCTGGCTGTTGCAGCTGTTGGTAGCTATGAGCCAGCACGTAGAAGATCTCTCTCTCTCTCTGTCTCTCCCTCTCTGTCTCTGTAACTCTACCTTTCAAATAAATAAACAGAAAAAAAGAATAAATAAAATATACTTGGAATTAAATGTACTATGTACAGCTGGAGAAAAGAAGAAAGTGCCAACGGTCTTTTTCTGGTTTAACAAAAAAGAGCCTTAATTATTTATGCATTTCAGAAAACACAGACATCAAATTCAATATTATTATAAGGGCAACACATTAAATATGATCAGCAGAATGCAGGCTTGCATGGATTATTTGTAATAGTTAAAAGGACATGGCTTTGGGTATCATAAAAGACTCATTTTGAGTGGCAGCTAAAAATGAGGACAACGTGGTACGTTTCCAGCCTTCCCTCGACAGTGCAGAAGACTTTAGCGAATGCTCTCAATTTGCCTGTCAGAAATAGCCTTGTGACATTCATCGGCCTATGCATTATTTTTTTCCTACCAATTTATTTATTTATCTGAAAGGCAGAGTTACAGAGAGGGATCTTCCATCCTTGGGTTCACTCTCTCAAAGAGCTGCCACAGCTGGAAGCCGGAACTCCATCCAGGTCTCCCACGTGAGTGGCAGCGGCCCAAGCACTTGGGCCATCTTCTGCTGCTTTCCCAGGGGCCCTAGCAGGGAGCTGGATCGGAAGTGGAGCAGCTGGGACTCGAACCTGCACGTATGTGGGATGCTGGCTTCTCAGGTGGCACCTTAACCACCATGCCACAGCGCCGGCCTCAGGTTCTCTATTTAGTGCTGATGCCTATCCTGCTGTATGCACTCTGCTGCTGCTGCTGCAGATTTTGGTTGTTTCTGGTTTTGTTTGGGGTATCACACATCTCTGTAAGGACACGTGTTTCCTTTTTTTTTTTTTTTAATGAATAAACAACATTTCTTTTTATACTTACAGGCTGATGAAAACCCATTACTAATCCTATTAAAGAAAATCCACCATTTCAGCTATTACTTATGAAATACTATATAGGTTTTCTCCAACACAACTTGAGAACATCACACTCATTAAATTTCAGTACATAATGGATTCAAGACCAAGTATGTGGGGGGCCAGTGCTGCGGGTTAAAGCCCCAGCCTGCAGCGCCAGCATCCCATATGGGTGCCAATTCAAGTCCTGGCTGCTCCACTTCTGATCCAGCTCTGTTGTGGCCTGGGAAAGCAGTAGGAGATGGCCCAAGTCCTTGGGCCCCTGCACCCATGTGGGAGACCCGGAAGAAGCTCCTGGCTCCTGGCTTCGGATCAGCGCAG